GAATAAATATGCAAGGTTTGTGTGTTAAACATGTGAATGAGACAAAACACTACTCCAGGTCTGTTTTTGACAAGGAAACAACATTACAACATAGATCAGAAAATAGAGTGACACAGGGCCTTTAAGACTGCCATCAAACCTTCACACAACTCCTTTGATTCTTTCTAATGATACAAGCTTTGAGTAGCCTGTTTTCCATAGCATCACTCTTCTAATCTATTTACATTTCTGACAGTCCAAATATCAACACATATGCAGTAAATGAGCATGTATGTCAATAATATGAACTACCAAAGACGCCAATCTGCCAGTGTGTTCTTCAGTGTCACGGACCATATGGCAGATGTAATCTTACGAATAATTAAAGTGCTTGACTGTCGCGTGATTGGACGTCTGGCTGTGTACAAATGCTCCCTGTGTTCTTTCCCATGCTGTTCCATCATTAAAACTACATTTGCTAGTTTTTCCTATTGCTCCCCATAGTATAAAGGTCCTATATTACACAAAACTGACTCTTGTGAACATGGACATGTTATGCTTTGTTTACAGTGATCCACAGTATTGCATTAAAGTAGTTTATCTTGCATTTATTCTATTACAGGTGTTTTTATTTAGCCTGATTCATCTGCCGGTTTCACTTCATGTAAACTGTCTGACCTTGCAGCGTTAGGATTCGTTCGCTGTTTTTTCTATTTAACCACTCGTTGCTATTTAGTCATGATTTATGTAATGCACTGCTAATGGGGCTAAAAAAAGCTTTTTCCCAATCCCGTAGAAGGGGCAAAATCTCTTTTTCCTTGATAAAATTCACCAAACATTCTCTTTGTTCCGGCTTTAAATTCGATCTCGGGAATCGTTGCCACACAGAATATCTGTCTTCATCTACATCCATCTCGACCGCTTTGTTTACTGTTGTGTTGTACCACAAAAAAACCACAGCAAATTTGTTGCAGTCTTCAACTTCCGGGGTTCTTGCAAAAAAGTGTATTCTGATTCCTGACCTAGTTGCTGGAAAGAAATTAAATTGAGCGGAAACACTAGGTGACACCAGCCTGGCTAGTTTTTATTGCTCTACTATACTGTAGAACATTCCTGGCTTGGAAACAAGCAGATGACGGGCTCTCCACCAAACTTTCTTTTATGTTACAATGCTGTTAAATTAAAAAGTTGTGTTTTGTTTCATTCACATGTTTTTGAATAACCCTTTATTATTAGTCCTGCATTTCTAAGCTCAAAATTCTGTTCCTTTGTGAGTCACAAGAATGTCAAGTTAACAGCTAAATTTTTTCCTTTTGTTCAAGAGAAAGTTTCCAGGGCTGAAATAATGATTCTAGTGAAGATGTATGGAGTTTAAAATGCAATGAAGCACTTCCCTGTAGTTAGTAGTAATTTCAGTGTTCAGTTAGCTCACCATACAGGGCTTGTGATGTTGCTCTGTGTTTTCGGTATAATTTTAATCAATTGATCTCAGGAAACTCTAATTCTTGACGCAGTCATTACCATCTAGGTAATTTTCGTGCTCTTTATACGGCATGTGGCAGAAGTTATTACCACTTCTGCTTCCCTTAAAATGTGATAATTTTGAAACTTGACCGTTGTTCTGAAGCAAGAATTGTACAAGATAAATTTTGTAAAGAAAAATCTCAAGGAGAGTGCTCTCAATAAATAGAGATAAAAGTTAAACGTGGACACAGCGTTGCAGAATGGACATAGATGTACTAGTTTTCCTTCACAGGATTGACTTTAACTTGGCTTGAAAGTCGTTTCATGGATACAACCTACGGTTACTGGGTCTATTATTGTAAATGTTAAAAAGCATTTGCAGTAAATGTAATTGTGGACTAAAATGGAGCAAGTGAATTTTTCGTTGATTTTTCTAGCAATTATTTAAATGGTTAAAAAGCTCCCAAAGGTACATTTTGAATAATATGTGTTCTTTAAGTAACACAAGTCTGTCACTATTAAATCATGCTGATATTTCTATAAATTGTCGGCCTTTCTCTACACTTAACAGGTAAGAGTTTGAAGTGAAACGTTGCATTAAACGGCAGAACATAAAAGCTAAGTGTGGGCGGTGAAGTCATTATGCTCGCTTTAGTCCCATGTTTAAATGTGAGACTCCCCCCTACATGTCTTCACCAAATGCCAGTCTTTTAAAAGTCCTTCCCGCTTCCTCAGGGTGTCCTCTGATTCTCGTCCAGTGCATTAAAATCAGCTTAACCTGCAGCTCGCCTCAGGACACACATCCATCACAGTCTAATACATGTATTTTGGATTGGAAAAGAGGCAACAGACTGCAAAGTGGACTTTAATACACTTAAGGAATGCAAATATAATACTTAAGGGGAAAGGATATAAGCTTCAAACCCTAGGAGAAGATACTACCATTAAATAATTCCCAAACATTACTACTACTAGCTATTACACATTCTATAGGTGCAAGGCCACTACTAAGGCTACGTTTATACGATGACGCTCTGAACAGAAGACGTAAAAGTGGCATCTTCACTTTTTATTCCGCGTATAGACGAGCGTTTTTGGGAGGAAATCTGAGAGCATACAGTGACGCAAATGTGTGTGGAATTCTATTGGGTATTTGGTTGGCTTGTACTTAAAGCAACAAGAGCACCTTTGGACATACGGAAGTTTTCACGTCACGCATTTTCATCAGCTACTCCTTCCACAAAGTTGTCCCACCATTGTCCCAAGTCTCGTCTATAGTCGTCTGGCTCGCCAAGACGAACTGGTGCATCCAGAATTTGAAAGAGGTAATTGCAGACCCTTCTCTGGTCACTAATAGTATCTCTGCATGTTCTGTACATTTGTTGGGATGCCTCCTGTAAGTTTATTAGAGTTGCCAGAGCAGCTTGAAGGTCTGACGCATGGAAATGATCTGACATGTTTTGTTTGTGTGTAACTGTGTGACGTACGTGACGGGAGCAGATCTGACCAGAGTTTTGCGTCTTGGGCAGTATAATGGAAACACTAAGTATTTAACTTTACACTCTGGAGGTGGTTTCAGATTTTTGCGTTTTAACCGATAAAAATTTTTGTCCATTTTCACCCGCAAGCGTTTTCACGTAAACAAGCCTAAATGCTAACTATATGACTGTACTTTCACTACAGCACTACTACTTGCAATACCTATACCTTAACTAAATTGGCTGAAACGCTATAGGGGCGCAATGGATATCTCAAGTATTGTGCTTTAAAAAAATACATATATATTTTTCTGTCAAGTCAATCAATTATAGTAAAACTGATGTGAACAAGTATCAAATACAACTGGAATTCTAAAGGAACCTTATCAGTTTCCAATTCTAATTATTTTAAAACAGTATTGAATCAATATATATAGCATGAATGGATACCATGGAACGAAGGCTACTACCACAACTACTACACTGCCACTACTACTACTATGGCTACTACTATTGCACAACTTCTGCCCTTCTACTACTGCTAGTGTTTACTACAAAGCATTATGTATCAGTTTAATTTCATGATACATTTGTAATGCGCAGCCAAATAACAACACTAATAGTTTTATTCATTAAAATATGTGTACTGCCATTGATGCTAAGAGTAATATTGAAAAGCCTAGAGAGTTTCATGTGGGAAAGAGTCTGGTTCGAGTGCTTTACTGTTAAATGTTTGTGCTATGCTGTTGATAAATTTAGTTGCAGAAGAGAACATGCAATTTGGAGTATAATAAAATGATTGAAGTAAGGGAATGGAGTGCAGCAGTGGGCTTACCTGTGCCAGTACCAGAGGGTCAGGGGATCCAGAGGTGATGCAGGTGAACGTGACAGACTCCGGTAATCAGCCGTGGCGTTAAAGGACTGCTGGAAAACGGATCACACGGAGGCACTGCAGAGACATAAAAGATACAAAAATGTCTGAATGTTTTTTTTAAAGAAAGTCAAAGTACACAATGATGTTTTGGAAATGATTAGCAAAAGATGGTTTTCCTTTTCTTGCCTGGGGGTTGAAATAGGCAATTTAAATTGATCTGCTTTCAGACAACTTGCTCAGAGATTGTCCTAGAAGGAATTGATGTATTTGTTCTTCTTTCGCTCCTGTAAGTTTATTAGAGTTGCCAGAGCAGCTTGAAGGTCTGACGCATGGAAATGATCCGACATGTTTGTTTGTGTGTACTGTGTGACGTACGTGACGTGAGCAGATCTGACCAGAGTTTTGTGTCTTGGGCAGTATTTAACTTTTACACTCTGGAGGGTGGTTTCAGATTTTTGCGTTTTTAACCGATAAAATATTTTGTCATTTTCACCCGCAAGCGTTTTCACGTAAACAAGCCCTAAATGTACTATTATGACTGTACTTTGACTACAGCACTACTACTGCAATACCTATACCTATAACTACAATTGCTGAAACGCTATAGGGCGCAATGGATATTCAAGTATTGTGCTTTAAAAAAATACATATATATTTTTCTGTCAAGTCAATCAATTATAGTAAAACTGATGTGAACAAGTATCAAATACAACTGGAATTCTAAAGGAACCTTATCAGTTTCCAATTCTAATTATTTTAAAACAGTATTGAATCAAAATATATATAGCATAGATGGATACCATGGACGAAGGCTACTACCACAACTACTACTACTGCCACTACTACTACTATGGCTACTACTATTGCCACAACTTCTGCCACTTCTACTACTGCTAGTGTTACTACAATTACTACAACAAAAGCATTATGTATCAGTTAATTTCATGATACATTTGTAATGCGCAGCCAAATAACAACACTAATAGTATTATTCATTAAAATATGTGTACTGCCAATTGATGCTAAGAGCTAATATTGAAAAGCCTAGAGAGTTTGCATGTGGGAGAAGGTCTGGTTCGAGTGCTTCTCACTGTTAAATGTTGTGCTATGCTGTTGATAAATTTAGTTGCAGAAGAGAACATGCAAATTTGGAGTATAATAAAATGATTGAAGTAAAAGGAAGTGGAGTGCAGCAGTGGGCTTACCTGTGCCACGTTACCAGAGGGTCAGGGGATCCAGAGGTGATGCAGGTGAACGTGACAGACTCCTGGTAATCAGCCGTGGCGTTAAAGGACTGCTGGAAAACGGACAACACCGGAGGCACTGCAGAGACATAAAAAAGATACAAAAATGTCTGAATAGTTTTTTTTAAAGAAAGTCAAAAGTACACATGATGTTTTGAAATGATTTAGCTACAAAGATGGTTTCTTTTCTTGCCTGGGGGTTTGAAAATGGGAATGGAAATTTAAATTGATCTGCTTTCAGACAACTTTGCTCAGAGATTTTGGAAATAAGTATTTGGTAGTTTGAAAATGTGTTTTTCTGTGTAGATCAGGTATTCATTTTTCAGTAGCGATCTTTTCTGGAGGTTCATGAAAACAACTTTGGCATGATAAAGTAGAAAAGCAGAAATTATATAGATGTGCATTTAAGTCTTGCTCGGTGCTGTTGTGATGTAGGGCTAAAAATATGAAATTTTAATTATAATACACAACAATAAAACAAGATTTATGCAAATAAATTGGGTAAAAGGTGCACTATGAAACTTCTTCTGCATGGACACAAGCGGGTGACACGACCAGGCCAAGTTACAGATCAGATCCGTTGAGAGATCTCAGTAAGAATGCATATTTGTCAAGGTATTTTTGAGCAATAAACCCACCAACAATTGAACAATTTAATGCCAAAGTGTGGAAGATCTTAGGTAAAGCATTAACATCTCCATGGAGACAAGCATGTGATGGCCCATCTACAACCAACCGATTGCAGTACTCATAATTGACCAGCAAGTACGACTGCTGTTACTACTACACTTATTAGAAAGTAGATTATTATGTTTATTTCATTGTTGCTGCTGCAGAAATTTTAATTTCCTTCGGGGTCAATAATATTTTTATATACCTGTCCTTTTTTGACAGTGTTTTCTAATCTGTGCATTGTGTCACCATGGTAACTGATGAACATAGATGTAGAACACCCACAGCGTGAGCCACAGCAACGTATCACTTACAACTATCACTGCTACAACTACTACTACAACAGTCTAAGGTCCTGTTTATATAAGAATGCTTGCAGGTATTATATGTTCATTTGTTTTATTTCAAACATGTGTCTTTAACATATACATATACAATGTATCTTGGCAATGAAGATGAAAAGAAGAAAATAAAACACACAAAAAACCAAAACAATAGGTAAAAAGACAAAATATTTTATCAGAAGTGCCTTTCGTTTAGACAGTGACGGTGTTTTTGGGGCTTAAAAACACAAAAATCTGAAACCACCATCCAGAGTGGAAAAGCTGAATACGTTCTGCTGTAGTGTTTCCGTCTACACCGCACAAGACGCAAAACTCTGATCAGATCTGCTCACGTCGCGTACGCGTTTACATCACATACATCACCATCTATCATCACCATTTAGCCGCCTGGCATGCATACACAATCAAATTCCACACACTTTTGCGTCACCATATGCATGCAGATTTCCTCCCTAAAAACACTCGGCTAAACACGGAATAAAAAGTGAAAACACAACGCCACTTTTGCGTCTTCTGTTCAGACCGTCATCATATAAACGTAGCGTGCCTCTAACCAAAGAACACCACAGCTGGAGAGGGCGGGATTTGAACTGCCAAGTTTCCTGTTTTAAAGCCGATCACTCCAAAAATACTACTTATAGGTTATAGATACCATATGTTTGTCTTTGATTGGATTAAAATCAAGACAGAAGAGTCTAAATATTACATACAAAGTCAAATGGAAAGGAAACCAAAAGCACACGATCAAAAATTCAAATCCCTCTCATGGCTTTGTGAGTGGCCTGTTAAATCCCCCAAGAATCGTGAATCACACTGGTGACCCAGCTTTGGTAATACACGGGGGAATGCAGCTCCGCCATGTCAGCCGCTAATACCTCTCTCAGCCCATATCAACAATGGAGACGAAATCTGTTTCAACATCAAAACAACTGCTCTATGTACAAAGACGATCTCTGGGGAGTACAGTGCTAAGAAGTGATGCAAGTGGAGATAGAGGGAAGGAGAAAGAGAGAAAGAAAAGGGAGAGAAAGAGGGAGCGAAGAGTTTAAGGTGAGGTCTTATATAAGTGCTCCATTTAGCCAATAGTGCGTTTGATTGACAGCCAGCTCCCACAGAGTTGGAAATGTCAGCGCCACATGCCTATACGTGACATAAAGAGGACATTTGTGCTTATATACACTTTAAAGGGGGAGTATACTGGAAGCCTGGTTACAACTTTAATTGTAGTGTTTGCTATTTCTGCTATTTTGGCCAGATCGTAAAATTGTAGTTCACAAATTTTCCCTTTAATGCGGATTTTTGCTCAAATAGTAACGCGTTCTAAAAGTAACAAATTACTGTACTGCATTGCTTTTTGCTGTAACGCAGGAATGTAAGGCATTACAGGGAAAAAAAATAGTAATATTTCACTTGGTAAATGTCAGTAACGTGAGTTACAATGCTTTTTTAACCTGGATTGAAGTGTTGGGTTTTTTGTCATACAAATTCTGTAAAATTACCGCGATATCAGCAGCGGTGAAACGTCGGAGATGAGTCCATGTAGACAGTCGGGTGACTGCAGAACTCCACGCTCCACGGGGCTAAACGCAGCCTTACAGACACCCTGTTCCATGGGCTCGGGGTTCTCTCAGGGGTGGTCCTAGATTCCAAGTTCTAATCCAAGATTAGTCATGGTTTAGTCCTGGTTTAGTCCTTGTGTACTGCTACACTCAACGTGACCCCTTGTCCTAATTGAGATTCACAGCCCGCTAAAGTCTCCCTTGCATCACTTCCTCCAAGGAACAGGCAGGTGTTGTCTTTGATCAGGATTTAATGCAAAAAAGTGTGAAACTGTAACAAAATACAAAAAAAGTATTCAGAAGGCTGTAAAATAAATTCTGTACATCAAAGCTCCTATGCAGACAACCAAATGGTTAATGCTATCTGAAAAGTAACTACTACTGGAACATCTCAAAATATGTCTATAAATTACCACAAACTTTAAGAAAGTGCTCCAAATATACTGGTTAACATTCATTTTTAACATAAACTTACTCATATTGCCGCTCAAAGGGCTGGAAATGAGGAGATGGCTTCAGACAAAACAGTAAAACACATGTGGATTGATTGACATTATCAAGCTAGTTGTCACCTACTGGCTAAATATATTACCAAAATTGCAACTAGCGCCCTCTAGCAGGCTGGAAGAACACAACACAAAACAGTTCCAATACCCATTGTTTAGACCTGGTTTAGACACAGATCAGTTAGACCTGGTTTAGTCCTCGGTTCAGTCCTGCTTTAGACCTAGTTTAGTCCTGGTTTAGAACTGGTTTAGTCCGGGTTCAGGTCTGGTTCAGTTTTGGTTTAGAACTGGTTTAGTCCTGGTTCAGTCCATATACGGCGCAAAAGTTCAGCATCTTCACAGTTATCTTGGTGAGAGTAACTTAAAAGTAAAGTAATGTAATGTAATAGTAATATAATGCCTTACATTTTCAATGCAGTAATATTGTAATGTAATGAATTACTTTGAAATGAGAGTAACAAGTAATAAATAACACATTACAGTTTTAAATAACTTGCCCAACAGTGGCGAGTGGTGAATATAATATGAGCAAAGCAATGACATCTCCATGGAGTAGTAGTAGTAGCAGGTGGATTGTGTACACTCTTCCTCTTGTAGTATAGTTGAGTTGAATATTTGTAGTACGTGCTCTTGTTTACAGTCCCGCCTGCTGACTTGTTTTACCCCGAGGCCCCTGATCACATCATTGTTGTATTATGTGTATTTTGACACACATCACTGTCTACAGCAAGTAAAGTTAAGATATATTTACTGTTTCCCACGGTAGCGTCAGACCAAAGGAAACTGTACCAGATACCAGGGCTCAGCGCAAGGACGGGCACTTCACAAAGTCTTTTAATATGTATTTTTTATTAGATAACATGTAGTGTGGGTCTACCAAGATGATTTGTACCAGTGGTGTAGTAGGGATGTTTTAAGTGGGGTAAGCTATTCGTGACTGAACCAGCAGGACTAAACCAGGACTTAACCAGAACTGAACAAGGTCTAAACCAGGACTGAACCAGGACTAAACCAGGACTGAAGCAGGACTGAACCAGGACGAAAACAGGTCTAAACCAGGACTAAACCAAGACTAAACCAGAACTAAACCAAGACTAAACCAGGATTGAACCAGGACGAAACCAGGACTGAACCAGGACTAAAACAGGTATAAACCAGGTCTAAACCAGGACTAAACCAGAACTAAACTAGAGCAGGGTGTCTGCAAAGCGCAACGGCTGTGCAGAGCTCCGCGTCCCTCCTGTCCTTTCACCTGTAGTCACCTGACGATCTACGTGGGCGCACCTCCGGGCCTGTCCCGACACTCAGTCCTGGTTTAGTTCTGGTTTAGACCTGGTTTAGTCCTGTTTTAGTCCTGTTTTAGTCCTGGTTTAGTCCTGTTTTAGTCCTGGTTTAGTCCTGGTTTAGACCTGGTTTAGTCCTGGTTTAGTCCTGGTTTAGTCCTGTTTTAGTCCTGGTTTAGTCCTGTTTTAGTCCTGTTTTAGTCCTGTTTTGGTCCTGGTTCAGTCCTGGTCCCTCGTGTCTCAGGTCACTATAGGACAGTACTATCATGAGCCTATGCAGGTTGTTTTCACTATTGCCAATAGCTCTGGTTTGACATTTAAGTTGTAGCTATTTTATATTTTATTTTAACTTTTTTATATGTCACGTTGGGAGAAGTGGGTGGAAGCTGTACCCCCGCATACCACGCCCACTATACTCCTGCTGGGGAGACCAGAGTGCCCATAGAAAACCCACCCAAACATGGGAAGAACGTGCAAACTTGGGAGTCAGACCTGGAACCTTTGAGCTGTGGGGCTTGAGTCCTAGCCACCGTGCCACTGTACAGTATAGTAAATCAGCTGTTCAACATACATTAATATATTACAGGACAAATTTATGTTATCATATTAAAAGTAAGTTCAGAAAATGTATGGCAATGCACCGTGTGAACTATGAGTAAAAAATATGTTTATTGCTTTTCACAGTACATAAACATATAGATGTAATACAAGCTTT